CACATGTGAGGCTTGAGAGAGGAGTTTATGAAAGTTAAGCAGAGCTAGCTATTAGGGTTTGCGAGACAGCAAGAATTGAATCCCACTATATATAGGTGAGGACAGATGTTAGGTTTAGGGTTTACACCTACCAAGAAAAAGACCGAATTGCCATTGCTTTAAGTTTTGGGTTTTTATACTTTAAATCCAATGATATGGGCGTAGGGTTGGGGATTTAAATTGTATATAGATCACCTAGCCTCCAAATCGTAACAGTTTGCGACTCTATTAGGACTGGTCTGTGTAGGTCTATTATCCAACTTTTTTTTTAATGATGGGATCAAATCTATTTTATCGTAATTAGTTTTTATTTCTTTCAAGAAATCAAGAAATTTTTAAATATCTTGCACATATCCAAAGTGTTGCAGCCGCTTGAAACTCTGTCTCAGAGAATATAGACTTATAGATAAACATGATCAAATTTGTTAATAGTACACATTGATTACTATGCACATAAAAGTAAGCGTTCTGAACGTGCAATTTCGACCAAACATGAGATTAAGGTGATGTAATGGAGATGATTTCACACCTTAAACTAATGACTAGTAGTTACTTTAACAAAATTTAAAAGTCAATAGTCTTAAAAATATTTATGTGTATAATCTCGCCTGCCAATCATACATAATTAGAGAGGTGTTACTCACGTTCTGAAATTTAATAATAGTTGAAGAAAACAAAGTCTTTTTTTTTTTTAAATACTTGAACAACCAAAGAAAGTCTTTCTTTATTCTACTATGTAAAAACTAAAAAAAAAAAACTAAAACATTGCTACAATAAGATAAGTTTTGGGTTAGTTTCTGTGTGTATATATGAGATACATAATCTAGTAAGAAGAGACGGATAAGACAAAACTTCTCATAAAAAACTCTGTTTCGAGTTTACTTCAATGGCACGTCTTGCTCTGTTTCTATCCTTTCTCTCTCTAACTTTAACCTCTGGTGTGGTGAATTGTCGTGTTCTGAGTTCTGTCTCTGAGAAAAACCCGATCTTGGTCTCCGATGGAGTCCAAGACGGTTCTAAACACGATTTTATCAGTCTTGATCCGCCAAATCGGGTTTCGAAGGATGCTTGCATTCATCTCTACGGGTTTCTGCCATGTGCAGATAATGTTGGAGGATATGTCTTCCAACTTTTTTCCTTTGGTACTCTCTTGATGATCGGTGAATACTTCTTGTCTGAAGGAAGATCTGAACTCTTTCTAATTTTCGAGGTCGGTTTCTATGGAGGAGTTGTGTTCCCTCTCCTTAGAATGTTCCCAAGAATTGTGCTTATTCTATGTAAGAATTAAAATCATTTTACTTGTTTTGGATTCTTTTTTATTTATAGTTTTTTGAGCTCAATGAGTAATGATCTTAAACAATGATGACCTCAGCGACTGGATTGATGGGAAGCCAAGAAATCGCAAACTCGATGGTTGGTAATACCGTTGGAGTTACGGTTGGATATACTGTATTTGCTTTGACAATACAATGGGGAGCTTGTGTTGTTTTTGGAATGACTGATCGAAAAGTTGAGCAAGTCCAGTCAACAATTCCTGTAAGATATAC